AAGTCTGCATTTCTCAAATTCTATGGTCGATATAAAAACCTTGTTTGCAAATATATTCTATTGTTTGGTCGTATTTGACTGAATGTTTTTTTTAATTGTTATACAGTGAAACCTTTCTTATCCGACATGCACTGGGAGACAAAATTTTTTTGTTGGAATAGACAGGGTGTCGGATTACACGGTGTAAAGAATATAGAAAGCAGTATAATGGAAATTTAGATAAGGTTCGGAATTCACAGTAAAACGGACTTGCACATGTGTCGAATTAGACAGTTATCACATTGACTGTACTTATTTTGTCTATGGTAGATTCTGTTTATCATATCAATACACAGGGCTTATGGCGGATGTTACCTGTCGACAGCGGATGCCTTCTCCTACTGGACTTTTGCAAGAAGAACTGACTTTTACAATCGACGGCTTACTTTTACACTAAAACAATATATTGAAGCTCTTTTGCGATATACATAATAAGCTGTACAGTTAATTAAACGACAATATTGGGCCATTTCAAAGCACTGTTACGTTTTCTAGGAAGAGAATGGAACCCACCCTATCGTCAAACCCCACCCTTCCCAGAATGACCAATTCTTGCTTAGTTTTTTTCCGGAATGTTTTTTTCTGCCTTACTTGATTCTTTCAGAAAATGAGATTGAAAGGAGATACTACCCCTCAGAAAAAAGGTATTTTGAGTTATGTTATTCTGCCTCCCATTATCTCTTGTGTTGATGGTATACCGGTAAATCATGTTTGTGCCACTAACACCATACCTTTAACAACTATTAAAGTTTTTTTCTTTTCTATTATCAATTCCGTACATCCGTATATAAGGCAGGTTTAAATGTCAAAGTAAGCCATCGACTGTGAAAGTCAGTGATTCTCGTAAAAGTCCACTAGGCACCTGATCATACCGCTTGTGTTTTCAGGGATCCATGTTTTTGCCCTCTTAGCCAACATTATTACTAAGAAGATTTATGAGATCTTTCACTGCCTGTTATTTATCTTCACTTTTTTTCTGGATAATTTAAGAGGATTATACAAAAAATACTGAAGATTGATGCGATACCCCAACAAAATGGAAATATACATATAAAACCACTCAAATATCTTTTTTTTAAATTTCAACAGGACTTAGTTCTTAAGAATTATTATACTTATGTAAAATAATTATTTTAAAAGATATCTTTATAAATAATGTATATTATCCCATAATTAAGTGATATTAAAGTTGATAGATATTCATGTATTCCTAAGAAAAAATGAATCTGTAATTAATTCTGTTTCTAAAGGAGATGAGACCAAATAACTCAATAAATGTCATCCTCAATGTAACAATATAGTCTTTGCTTTTAAGACTCGTACATGTGTATAAATATTTTCTAAGAATTAAGAACGTGGTTTTAATTCCACATTTGGAAATCCAACTTATACTCACAGGTCACATTCTAATTATAAAATTCTTCAAAATCACAATTCAGTTTTTAATACTTTTAAAATTCTAGTCAGTAAAGGTGAGTTCCATCTACCCTTACCTATACTGGATTCCTTAACGTCATAAAAATCCTTCCGAAGAAAGATACATTGCAAGGTCCAGCAAATGCTTTATCAAGCCCCTATCTTTATTCCTTATAAAAATATTTACGTCAGTAAAGGATAAAATTCAGACAAAACGTATGCCTTTTCATATAATTATTTTACACAACCATTCCTCGCGTGACACAAATAAGCAAAGAGTTGCTTAGATATTGAACTAATTCTCAAAATGATAAGCAGCCTTTATCCCGACTTCTTGAATTTTTAAAGCATTATACATTTTTGGCAATATTTACAATATTTTACTTTACAAATGGCCTTTATTTAATGACATTGAATTGCATTCTTCTCTGTTTTAATTTTAACAAAAAGTTTGAAGAAATAGATATAAAATGCTAATGCTTAGTATTTTATGCGATAAAATCTTATTGACTTTGTAAACTTATTTTATATTTTCATCTTTTAAAATTCAAATAAGACCAAGTGTTGAAATTGTTTGTGCATAAGGATAATAATTAAGAAGTGGTAATTGTACTTGGAGGGGCAAAGAAACGTTTTTAAACTTTTGTTTTGGCAATAAAAGAAGCAGCGTCTCCCCAGCTTTACTTACTATATATGCTCGATATTAATTTTCATGTACAAGTAAGATATTTAATTTTAGGATTATGTATCGGGATGCAAATTAAACTGAATAATCGTGTCACATTTGTCTCAGGAAGAATAAAATAAAGATAACTATTGCAATGTGGAAGTGACAGGATTACAATCAGTTCTCGATTCATCGCCATTCCCTTGCTATTATATAGAAATCTCTTTATGGCGCCAAATTCGCATACCGCCATCCGCCACCCTGTATTCCTAAAACTGTCCATTTTGAAATGTCAAATATATCGATATACCGCCACAGGTGCGTGAAGTCAGTGAAGCGGCTAATTGATTGTTGCTATATCCGTAGTAAAACCAGACATGGTGATTAATGACTTAAATAAACAATAGATTGCAGGAATTATTCTTTGTTTACTGTTGAGTAAAAATAATTTAATCATGGCTTTGCCCTGAGTTCGATGACAACATTATTAACTTCAAAAGATGAAAAGACTGTGGAAGTTCAAGCAAAGATGATGTCTAAGACAAATAATTCTATATATTTTTTTATATACTATGATGTTTATTAATATTTTATACTACTCTTAGTAGAGCAAATCAATCAAAACTGGATACGTTTTTGAAAATACCAGACGTTTAGCATTATTATATATGGCCTATTCAGTTTCACATGCATTTATAATTTGTTATATATTTATTCTATTATCTTTTTAATTTATTTTCTTTATTTATTTATTTTAAAACAAAATTATTGCCAATATATTAATTGAGTTAAAGTATTTACATATCTTCAATTAAGATTTATAAACTTACAAAAATTGATTTTTTCCCAAGAAGGGATACTTACATAACAATGGTAAACTCTATGGTACAAAATGAATGAAGCTTTGAAATTTTTTTTGAATGAAAAAAGTAAAAAAAAAAAAAAAAAAAGCATAATAATTTTTCTAAAAAAAAAAAAAGAAAAAAAAATACAAACTATACATATTTGTGAACAAGCATTAAACATGTACCCCTGGGACTTCGAGTGGGGTCAGGTGCCTAGGAGAAGTAAACATCCCCTCTCGACACACGCTGTGAGACCTAGCTGGTGTGTATTGATCAGCAGGTAGTCGGGATAATCCGGACGCGAATGTAGCATAAAATCGTTGGACTAATAGGTAAAAAAAATATGTCAGTCTGAATACGACACAATGATTGGTTGTATTTATAAACGAGGTCATTAAAATGACCAAAGAATTTTCGAAATGTTGGCTTTAAACGAGATTGTTGAGGACCTTGTAACATCAACTTATTTGTCAGGAGCCTTCCCCGTTGATCGTAATTTGATCGTACTTATAGTATGCTTTTGCGCATCAAATAAGTTGGCATATATAAACACCATATACAGGAGAAAGTTGAATGTTACAAAAAAATTAATAAAGGAAAGATAACGATGGAAAAACTAAAGTCATCTCGTTTGTCATACAATTTCCGTTACCGTCTATTGTCAGTATGTTTGTTTGTTGTTTAAGTCCCTCTCGAGAATTTTTCACTCATATGGAGACGCCACCCACCACTTGCCGGTAGAGAACTGCAAATTTTGACCTTTACTCGGCACTCATGGCCATTGAACAGTGAATGATCTTTTTCGTGCCAGCATCTACTGTTACACGGGGCCTCGGTTTATACGGTCTCATCCCAAAAACCGGTCTATTGTCAGTAAAACATCCTTATATTAAATTAAATAAGCTGTTATACACAAATACTTCCTCCTCAGGAATCAGACAAACAGTAGAGACATAATTCAAATTTATAGAATAAAAGAAAAAAATCATGTTTTCCTAAAATTCAAAAATGCTAATGCTGACAAAAACTCTCCCTTTTTAAATTTAAATAAAAAAAATTATGCGTTTCATTAAAATTTACATTTATTACCTTAATAATTTGAAAAATAAAAAAAAATATTTCCCATGATTTATAATTTTTTGCAAAGATATCGAGAAAATATTGGTCATTTTCAGCAAGACATTTCTTGAGCTTAGGCATATAGTTAAAATAGCTGCAATATCGTTTCACTATTCTCCTGTGATTGCTTACTTTGTCATTTTGTCCGTGCAATATTTACCGCGAGTTCAATAACTTCCCATGTTTGACACACCCTTAGACCGCCTAATATAAAATACATGGTTACTTTCTTGAAATATAAGCGATATTTGGGCGAGGGTAAGAAAACGTGATAGAGGGCGAGGCTTGCCGAGCCCTCTATCACGTTTTCGACCCGAGCCCAAATATCGCTTATATTTCAAGACAGTAACCATGTATTTTGTTCATCCTGCAACAAATTTTTACAGGACCTCCAAAAAGAGCTGTTTTAAACCGATTTAGGTACATCTCTGCAGTTGAAACTAAGACGCCATGGCGTAAACATTGCAATATTCATGACGTCACAATGCTTTTAGAACGTTGGAATACGTGCATAAGGCTTTATTAGGGCATTGACCGAATTAAGCTTTGGTTTATTAGGTTACCTTTATTAGGTCAATACAAGGGGTAGTTGCAGGATAAAAAACTTAAGAGGCTCCTGATTATAATTTATATGAAAGATTGTAGTCTATGTAAAGTTTCTCCAAACTTGCAACTGTGTCCGTTAGACGTGCTTCAAGTAATGAGTAGAATGTGACTTTTAATTCTCTCAAATTTTATATCTGTTTACGTCATTTATATAATCTGTATATTAAACACACTAAATTTTGATGCTGTTTTCGAAGTTATTACGTCATAAAAATACAATCTGACATCACAATATCTGCATATTTTCTTGATCTTTGCAAAGTTTCAAACTCATTAACTTCCGTTAAACGGTATATATTTTATCAAACCATTATCAGAATGTTTATTCAAATGCCATTCTATAAAAGCACAAATTTCCTAAAACTAGATAATAAATACATTATTTAATGCTCCCTTGTGACACTTCAAATATGAAACTGTCAGAATTTAATCCAATATTTGTATTTGCTATATTGTATATTAGTTACTGTCATCCAGAGAGACATAAAACGTAGCCAAAAAAAAAACTCATAGAAAGATGGACACTAGCCTTTCTGCAAAAACAGAACAGAATAGATCTCAAAAGGTATTGTTACAGTAGCATAATAAACTAAAAATATCTTGTTTTGAGTTGAATATTTTTTAAATAAAGTATGAAGATAACGAACTTTACAATTATAAATCCTAACAACTTAAAAACACTTCCTCTGGCATATGTATCATAAACACCCTAAAGTTGTTGCATTAAAACATGTTCCACCCGGGCAAATCCCAGTATATGCGATATTATTTGAACATTGAAGATAATGATTACAGTCTCTTGGATGTGGATAATTACCATTAGCTCCGCTACAGGGATTTGCTAAAATGAAGAAAAAGAAAGCAATATCAGAATTATTCTTATTTATTCACTATTTTTAAGACACATATTCAAGTATGATCTATTTTGTAGATATTGTACAGATACAGATATTTCATCAATAATTTGTCAAGATTTCATTGCCAGCTTAAGTTGAGCTTATGCATGAAATATCAAGGGAGAGTAACAACATAATGTAAGTGACAATAGATTTCTGCTAGCCCATCTCAAGACAGCATGCAGGATTCATGTCGAAAGATCTAAAAGTCTTCAAATGATAAGTTTGGGATTATAGAATATAGTTTTTATCTAGACTCTTTGTAGAATTTTCGTCTTAATAATAGATAAATTTTCGTAAATTATGAAATACTAGCAAGTAGCTATGCTTTCATTGGGAAGATCTATTTGACCAACACTTATGACAGGTGCATGTTGAGATAAAATCATAAATAAGGAGTTTACTAGAAAACAAAATATTCCAAATGTTTAACCTGTACTTCATAACCCTTTCATAGCATGTATCTTCATGTTGAAGAATACATGTATTTCCTTTATATACTGAAGTGTTAAAAGTCTTACCTTGGAGCGGAATGATTAGAACTTCATTCGATGTTGGAATAGGATCGGTGTTTTGCAAACTCTCGGTATTTTTAGCAAGACATCTTATATACTGACCAGTCAAATTGTCTTTTGTTAGGTCTATGGAAAACTTCAAAATCAAATGATAATTGCAATTTTCATAAGCTGGCGTGTTAAAAGATTGAATGGTGGGAATGTATTTGTTGTATGTCCCTAATGAATCGTTCCTTATCTCCAATTCAAGGGATCCCTTCGGATTTCCAATATAACTTTTGCAAGTGTGAAAATTCTGGTTTTTACCCATCTCCAACCTATAGTCGATGTCTAGGACAGGTGTTAATGGTTTTACTAAAAAAAAGGACAAACTGAACTTTAAATAATTAAATAGACAAATAAGAACATAAGGGAGAGAGAGAGAGAGATAGAGAGCGTTTACTAACCTTTCATTAGAGGATGTGCTGTAGAAGAACTTGAAACTATTCCTCCATTGTAGAGTTTAAATTCATATTCTACAGAGTTATTACAATAGAGGTTTTTAACAATAAACAACACCATTTTCCCAGTTAAAGAACCTTGAAATGTTGAAGAAGAATCACCAAAATATATAACTGTTGTATTCTCAAATATTGTCATTATATTTCCTTTTTCATTGGATATAGATATAAAATCAAAAGAGGAAACGTTGAATGAACATGTAATAACTGCACTTTCTCCTTCGTATACAGAAGTTGATGTACAATTGAGAGCTACAAAAGACAAATATACACTTAATTATTAGAATTCCTTTAATTATCTTTGTCAAAGTGTATTTCATATTTACAGTTTCGGTGCTATAGCAAAGGAAAAATGAATATTAAGAAAAATGTAAATGACTTCGAAAAAGCAGACCAATTCATAAAAACATGTAATTACACATTTATCAAGGGTTCAAAAACTTGATTACTTTTATATATTAGTAAAATATTTCGAGTTTTGCTATATTCAATTTTTAAAGCATACGTTGAATTAATCTTTATACTATTGAAAAAAAAAATATAATTTGCACACTTACAACGAGAATCAGATACTGGTGTTGTTACAGAACTTGATAACGTTGCTTCTATATAGTAGAAAAATCAAACTGTGATTAAACATAGCTTTGTGATGAAGGTTAAAGTCTTAATAGTTTTGATGAAAGGGTAGCAGCACTGAAGGTAAGTGATTCCAATTTATGGATACTCTGAATAAGGAGAAAGCATATTTTGATAAAGTAAATCTTTTTGGTATTTAACAAGTTGAAATGCATTTTACCTGTAGTTGTAACTCCTTCTGTACATTTAGCACGAGAACAGTCATCACAATATGCTTTTCCGATGAACACACACTCATTTGGATTGCAGTGTCTTCCATAAGGCTTTCCCACACTGCACTGAACATAAGTATTACAAAAATCCACCTTTTCATGGTCAAAATAAATTTCTTGATTGTTCGTAGAGTTGCAGAATGATTCTGAATAAATTAAATAGAAAAATAATTTCTCTTTTGTAACATATGTGAAGGATTGAAATTATGTTATCCACCTTGCATTTTCTGATCAAATCAAATTCAAAATCACATTGTATCGTTTGTCATAATCTTAGTACTTCAATTCAAGTTTGTGATGAAGATTTTATTATATCTTTAATTATTGAGATGCTGAAGGAGGTTCGATCCTGAGCTTTTGAGCAGATTTTGGTCTGGACCTTTAATTATAAAATTCTGCATCATTTTTAGGTTCAAACATAAAATCAGGATTCTACAATGCAAATTAAACTATATCCAATGAAAAAACTGTGATTGAATTCCATTCAAATAGGATTATTTTGTGGCGGAAGGTTTTTTAGGAGAAAATGATCAATTTTTCCCTTTTGAAATATATACAGTACTGTCAAGTTTAGATTCCTATTTTTTCATGCTGGTTGCACACAGAGCTGTTTTTGCAGTGAAATGTTTTATGCTGGTTCTGAAATATCTATTAAATTATATTTTATGAATTCTTTTATTATATTGTGACAAATATAGTAAATGTGTTCTGAAAGTCCAGGAAAAAAAACTAGCCAATTTTAACATAAAATTAACACTTTTTTAGTAATATCTAAAAATTTACATCATAGACGCCCACTTTTGTTTTTCTTTTCTGAATATATAAGACAACTTTGACCAATCTTCCTAACTTCAGCAAAAGTTTAAGACTTTAAAATAATTTTCTTGCTTGTTAAATTTTTAATGCCAGAAAAATCACATTTTTGAGTTCAGAAAGGTCAAATAATTGATTATTCGAAGCAATTTGAAACTTTTTCTTAGTCACAATTTTAAAGTGTCTTTTTTTAAACAGAATAATAGTTTATTTTGTCCCATGATTTATTTGGATAAAAACATTGGAGGGAAAACGTCGATGATGTGATTTTTGATTAAGACACAAATTTCAGTGCAGAAAGGTCATATTAAATGTACTGTAGCGCCAAAAGAAGCATATTGACCTCCATTTTTTGTTTTGATTTTTAATTAAGCTATGTGTGTAGAAACTAAAAATATACTTGACAAAAGAAGTTTAAGACTTTAAATATCAGGATCCAACCTCGTTAACAGACGTATTAAATTTCCTGGTGTGCTTTTATCAATATCTACCATCAATAACGTATAAAACGTCCTCTTTGATAGCCTTTTGAACCGATCCATCCTGACTTTTGACTTCACATACAATTTTTCCTCTATTCCAATTCCCTGAAGGTTTTAAAGTGAATGAAATTGTCTCCATAGTTTTGCAATCTTCTTTGTTGTAAGGTTTCAGAGTGCTTTCAATTTCTATTTCATTACCAGAAATAGTCCGTAAGCTTTCTTTATTAAGTGTTATATTTTCGTTCGTCAAAGGATGGACAAACGTTATCTCTAAATAACCTCCAACTTCAGGGTACCCAACAGAGCCCACGCAATAATGAGTTTGGGAAACTCTCCCTTCAACAATGTCTGGGTCCACAAATAATTCAACAGCTGAGGAGCCCGGTGAAGCTTTAAAAAGATTTATAATGATTATGAATAATAACCTCGGATAAGCGAGTGGAATTTATAGCAATGACCAAGATGCCTTTGCGTCAAAAGGAAATAAGGTAGAAAAAAGTACTGAATACAGGGTAATTTTTGCCTCTTGTCATTTTAAATTCACAAAGACAATAAGACACAAAATTTTAAATTCACAAAGACACAAAGGTGTTAAAGAGATATTGTTGTTTCCTTCAAAATCGCCCGTTTTAACTTTGACCCCTTACAATGTAACCGAAAAAGGCGGAAAAAAAGGAGAGAAGATGTCCCTGTATACAGTACCCCACTCATACAACTTACTTGTTACTTGAACATCAAGTGAAAGTGGAGGCTGCTGTTCCGAATCATCATCCATGATAACAGTACAGTTATATTGCCCTTCGTCAGAGCACATTACTGAAGTGAATATCAAGCTAAGAGCATTGCTGCTAAAATTTGCATCAACCCCGGCTATTCTTTGTACTGAATTAGATGCTGATGTATAAGAAGCCATTTCTATTATTGATGTGCTGTTGATTATTTTCAAGATCTTTATTGCTTTGTAAGATCCAGTACTTCTTACGACACAGGTAAAGTTTGCTTCACTCCTTAGTTCTGCTTTTAGTTTATACGTATCGAAGGCAACGTCTGAAAAAAAAACCCATGTTGATATTATTTTCATACAACTATTTCTTATCTCAAATAATTGTAATTGAAATATAGGGGAAAATATTATTATTTCAATCTTGACACTAAGTATTTTGAATATATTAACATAACAGTTTTTCAAGCTTTAGTGGCCTTGCCAAATCCCACCGTATCATTATACCAAAAACATAAAATAAAGCCATTGACAGTAAAGAAATGTTTTGTATCAATTTACCTGCCGACTGTATTTTAACATTTTTTTCTTCCAAAACTTCTGGGCTGATTTCGTTGTACAAACATTTCAGCTTAGTTCCGTTTAGACTTGATGAAACAACCAAACCTGTGTCAAACCTTGATATCACTGATTTAGTACAGTTTTGGGTAAATATTTGTAAAACTGTTTGTTCTCCTTGTATTTTTACATAAAAATTGTCAGACGGCAGCTTGTAGTATCCTAAAAGTTCGGTATGGTCAGAGTCCACTGTTGCAGTACAGTTAAATATTAAGGGTTTCCCTTCATTGTACACCGATTCACTATTGATAGCAAGCTTTTTTACGGGAACTGCAACACAACCAAATATTATTATAAAGATAACATCAAATATCATATGACTAAAACACTGGATATGTTTCATATCATTATTTTATATCAATGATTCTCATCTCCTTCGACTTATATCATGCTGTTATTTTAATTTCTCTAAATGTACGTGATTGGTTTAGTTTTATATGTGTTATACATAAGAAATTAAACCAGTAAATGTTGTACATTTTGGTCCAGATCATCAAATAAAAATCATCAAATTACTTGAAGATCAAAATGACAACAAGCAACTTATCGGGGTCTTGATGAAAAGGGTGAAGATAATGAACACTGGTCGATTGTTAATAGGATGATTTTGAAAAAAAAAATTCCTTTTATTGACAAACCGTTTGTCAATGAGGGTGACCCTAGTCGTGTTACTTATTTACAAATATGGTTATTTAAGAAACAGTTTACGTCTTTGCTATTAAAATGGCCAATTTGTTCCTCAATTCTCGATAAGAACTCAATGCAATAAATCAGATTATTTAAAATAAAATCCTTTTGATTCTTACAGAAATGAGAAGACCTCCTGATAATCAATGTTATTCATATTTTCATCAATACTTTGAGCACAGTACGTCAATTATTCAGTTTTTCTACAGAGAATGACTATAAAATGTTTAAAAAAAATTTTTAAATAACAGGCATAAATAATGCTACTTTTTTAAAAAACGACAGAAAACTTAAAATAAAAGAGATGTGGTTTACCTAAGTTATCAAAGAAGAACGATGAGATGGACGGTTGTGTGCCCATGGATACGTTTGTGTCTGTCAGAGAGTATCTTCCTTCCTCCATACATGATGATGAACCAATGACAAAATGAATATATTTAGATCCCCCAGAAAATGTTGTATTTAAAACCGGAAATGATCTTGCTTGATTTTGAATTGATCCATCAGATAATATTATGCCTACATTTTCTTCCTTATATCCATTGACAGATGAAGTAAAAGTTACATTAAGGCTTTGAAAAGTGTCATCGAGGACTGTGCAGTTGATTGTGATTGGTAAACCTTCTTTCTGAGAGACATCAGAACACTGCACATCTACAATGAATGAAATATGAAGGTAGCGGACAGTAATCATGCTCAGAAGTCTATTAAAAGAATGCGTATTGTGAGCTGAGCAAACAAGGACCTCTGAAAACAAAGGTGGGAAAAGCTCTTTCAATCATTTAAGAAAAAGTTTTTGCTTCTAATGCAAAAAAATATGTATCCAAGGGGTGAATCTTTGGTTAACCAAAAGAAGGAATAATTACTTGTTAAGATCTTAAGATATATGTAATAGTATATACATTCTTGATTTTTTTTCTTTATATATATATATATATATATATATATATATATATATATATATATATATATATATATATATATATATAATATCTATATATATAATATATATATATAATATCATAGTCAAATAATAAATATTATAAAATAAAATTATTCTCATATTCTTCATAGATTTCTTACATGTTTTTCCTGGCGCTAATGTAGTTGTAGTTGTTACTGGTTCTGTAATATAATTTTGCAAATCAGAGGTATAAATTAGGGATATATGATGGAAATTTTTTTTACAACATTCATAGTTAAAAAGCTATTACATGCATAAACACATATATGTGATATGAAAACCTATTTTCAGCGATTTGCAATTTTTAAAAAAGATTATTTGTGCATTTTTTTCCTTACCAGGACTTTTACAGGTAAAATTTTCGTAACATTCAACACAATAATCTCGACTGAAGTCCATACATAGACCGGGAGTTCTACAGCTGTCTCCCGTTGCATACATACGGCCACCATCCTCAACACAATTTACAAAGTAATGACAATCGTTGTTTGGATGATTTCGTTTTGATTTATCCTCGTAACCCATGCAATATTCGTCTGCATGAAAAAAAAAATATAATATACAATTAATTAGAGTTTAACAAAATCTTAATTATGTTAATTGCCTCGTCTTTAAATATTTATCAAATTCATTTTATACATTCCTTTTTCTTCATTACGATACTTACCTGGAATAACAGTTATGCTGTCCGCTGCATGTGCATATTCGAAATTGTCATCTCTCAAAACACATTTAATAATTCCCTTGTCAAACTCCATTGGCCGATCCAATAAAAATGCGATGGTCTGGGTATTGTTACATGAATTGTTCGTAGTAAAATCAGAGACAAGGAGAAACTGGGCAGTAGTCCCCGTAATGTTGATATATGTAATATTGTTCTCAGAATTAAATTCCTTTTCTGATTCCGGTAATCTCTTTGAGTATCTAAATCCAGATGAATCATTTGCACGGTAAATTTGAATTTCTAAGTATTTATCACTCTTAATGTCTCCGGTGTGTTCTGTCGTGCAAATATGATCAAAGTTTAGCCTTGGAAAAATTTCATAAATATCAGGATTCAACTTCAAGGTGGGTGTTGCACCTTAAAAAAAAATAAATTTAGCATATTGTTGAGAAATCTTTAATGAATACTTTTATCTCGATTCGATGTCTTCATTGTATGAAAGGGATTATAGGCAGTACCTGTGTATGTCTACATCTAATATAATATCAATACAATTTGTATTGTAATTTATGAAAATAATTCTAAAAGACTGATTTGATAAATCAGACATATATTTACATATTTATAATTACCTATAACATTAAAGGTCATGTGAGGAGAACTTCTGGAATCATTTTCCGTTGTTAGCACACGGCATCTATATGTACCCTGGTCTTCACAGTCAGCTGTTGTAATTCTTAAAATCAGCTTAACATCATCAGCATCGTTTTCTTTTGTCACTGTGTATCTATTTTCTGATGTGAGAATTATAGGTGTACCCGATCCGTCCAAAGTAACAATTTCAACACTATCTCTGATAATTGTCATATTTTGCAGGATTGAGGATGCACCACGAGCTATGCATTCTATTACTTGGAGTTCTTTTGTCAGTGTTGTGTACGAATACTTTGAAAATGCCACATCTGAAAATTAGCAAAACACTGAAATTTAAAAGAATCTTGGCAAAAATCTAAACATTTCAGACTCCTTCTTAAAAACAAAAACACTGTGCATGGAATGAGCCATTCCGTCAACTTGCATGAAAAATTAACTTCAAGTTATCAAGTTACAATGACTATCATTCATCAATAAGAAGATTTCATACCTACAGCAGACACATTCAGTGTCTTTTCTATTGCCTCACTTTTATTCAGCAAGGAGTTTGTAGTAACACAACGAATTACGACACCATTTTCGTTTGTAGTCAGAGGATTTGGTGAACTAGCGGACCAGGTCACATTAACAGAGCAATCCAAGTTTCTTTCCGTTGGAATGGGTGACATATTTATTTTGTCCATCACATAAGAATTTAGTTCAAGTCTTACTTCACTATAATTTGGGTCAATATTAGTAGAACAATTAAAAGTTACCAGATCACCTTCCCTATAATCGACTTCAGGGTTTATGTTCACTTTTGCCATTGGCGCTGAAAGTGATGAAACATGAAATTATGTAAAAACCACATGCTCTGAATAAGAAAATATATACATCCTAAAAATGCTGAAATTGCGGTATAACGGGTTTTTTCTGTGGGTGGAATTTTTTTTCGGTTTGACCCCTTGAATGTAGCAAATTTCTTTGGCTTGGCTGCAATAATGGGCAAAAAATAATTTACGAGATCAAGGATTTAAAATTTGGTAGACCATTGCAATGTTTTAGGTATTTTTATATGATTGATACGTTGACCGTGTTCAGGGTGAATCACAACTAAAGCTTTTTTAATATAATTTTAATAAGCTATAAAATTACTGGTTAAATTAGGCTTAAAACTACCTTGAAGTCGGCCACACTTGGCACGTTTGAGAAAAATATGTGCATGTGTACATTACATCTGAATTAATATCTAAAGACAATTTTATATTTGCAATTTTTGTGGATTTGTCACATCAGCAAACTTCCGCAAAATTGAACAACCACAGAAAATACCGCTATACCGTATATAAAAGATTCAAACTTTTGAGAATTAATATGAACTAGTCTGGTTATATTGACGTAATTGGTCTACTTTTGGCCCAAAATATTTCAGTCATCATCTCTCGGTAGAAAACTTCCCACAGTCTGCTTTGTTATAGTTAGCGATATCGTAATGCATATCCCTTCCCACTTAAAAGAAGTTATTACCTGTAATTGAAATCTGACTCCCATTAGTTTGTCTGGTTTGCATTGTATCATTCATAATCACGGAGCATGTGACGATGTATCGGCCGTCCCATGTGCAAAAGTCTGATTTTGGTGATGTTAAATCAACCGTTAATGTAACAACAATATCATCACCATTCATGTCAATGCTACCGTTAAATCTGTCAACAGAAGTCGGTTTTTGAAATATTTTGTTGTGATCCAACTTTGCAATGACGTGTGATGAACTGTTATAATCGATTGATAGATCTACATGCAGCCACTCGCCGTGTGGGATGACTATACATCCTTGTGCTGTAGTAGTTTCCCCGACGATTGCAGTGATCCTCGGGACTCTGACGTCTGAGACGATAACAAAGAAAAAACATTATAATAAATTATATTCAAAACAAAAAGTCCTATTTAATCATTTGTCGCATGCCTTTCAAGAATTGTTGAAAGTTTAAGTTTTAATTTACATTATGTATTAAATGGTTTGTTTTGTTTATCTTTTGTGTTGAACAGTTATGGAGGACAAAGATGTAAGTTCTTCGAAAATTAAAGTTATTAAAAATGGACCACATGTGACAGAAGAATTTAAATCATAACTATAGGTTACTATATTATTAGGATGTAAGATTGACGCAGAGTAAATATTACCACACAAGAGCTGGTGCATATAAAAATTATTATCTCATGGAATCAACAAATTGTACAGTAATTATCAGGGGTTACCTTGATTATGAATATCTATGGCGATTAACAAAATAACGGCACTACAAACGTAAGAATCATGAATAGTAAAGTATGAATTTAACAAGATAAACACATAAGAAGATTCCTTTTAAAAATTGCCTTTTAGAGAAAACAGTATAATTTAAGTGACCTTTATACCAATCAATGAAAACAAACCTGCTGTATATTCCATGACTACAGCAGCAGTTGTTTCAAGTGTACTTTGAACTGTAAAGTCTGATGAAGCTGTTGTGTCTACTGTAGAATCTGTGACACAATCGTTACATTGCGTTGATTCCTGTGTCCTAGAAGTCGTCTCCATTGTTGGTGTTATAACGCGAGTTGTGCTATCTGCTGACACAGTTGTAGATATTTGTGACATATTTTCTGTAGTGCTTTCGGTTGTGCTTTCTGAAGTTGTTTGGTTTATTTTTGATGTAGCACTAGGTGATGCAAAAGATGTTATGCTATCAGTTGTTATTGAAGTCGATTGATCTGTATTATTGGTTGTTGGTACTTTAGATGTAATGATCTCTGTTGTTGGCGTTGTTAGTTTTGTACTGTTGGTTGACATTTCTGTAGATGTTGAGCTTTCAATTTTTGATGTCGATTCTGATGTTGTACTTTTCGTTGATGGCTCCGTAGAGACGGTGCTTACTGTTGCTATTGAAGTCTGTGTTATTGTACTGTCGGTTGATGATGCCAAAGAAGTCAATGGTGTTGTACTGTCTGTTGTACTTTTTGTTTCTGTTGTAGTCGTCGGCTTTGAAGTCTCGTCTGGTGATGCCGTATCTATTTTTCTTTCTGCTGTGATTGTCATCGATAGCGTTGTTCCTTCGGTGGAAGTCATGATATCTTCTACTGTTGTAGTCGTTGGCTTTATACTCTCAGTTGAGTTTAGTGTTGCCGGTATTGAACTTTCTGTCGTCCTTTCTGTTTTAGCTGTCACCGGTATTGTTTTTTCTGTCATGATTTCTGTTTCAGTGGTTACCAGTGTTGTACTATCTGTAGTTGTAGTTAGTGTCATTCTTTCAGTTGACATCGCAGTGTTTGACGAAGACGTTTGCGTTTCACTGTCAGATGTGTTTTCGTTTGTCATTGTTGTTGTTGTAATGTTCAATTTTGTGCCTTCGGTTGTGGTGTCCAATGTTTCCGTCGTCCTCGGTAGTTTACTACTGTTTGTGTTCTCTGTTGTTGCAGTCATTGGTGTTGTTATATATGCTGCTGTTGTCGTAGTGATCGGTGTTGTAGAAGTGGTTGGTCTTGTTGTAGAGGTCGGTGTTGTAGTAGTAGTCAGTGTTGTAGTGATCTGTGTTGTTGTATTGGTCGTTATCATTGAAGAGGGTGGTGATGTAGTAGTAGATGTTGTTGTAGTGGTGGGCATTGTTGAACTGGTCGGTGTTGTGGTGGTGGTAGCTGCTGTTGTTGTGGTCAATTGAGTTGCTGAAGCGGTCGGTGTTGTTGTAGTGGCCGGTGTTGCTGTAGTGGACGGCGTTGTTGTTGTAGTGGACGGTGTTGTTGTAGTGGACGGTGTTGTAGCTGCCGTTGCTGTTGTTGTAGTGGTTTGTGTTGTTGTATGTGTCGATTTTGTAGTTATTTGTGTTGTAATGGTGGAAGGTGTTGTTAAAGTGGTTAATGTTGTACCGGTCGATGTTGTTGTTGTGGTTGGTGTTGAAGTTGTCGATGTTATTGTACTGATCGGTATTGTTGTTGTGGCCGGTGTTGTTGTGGTCGGTGTTGTTGTAGTGGTTACTCTTGTTATATTTGTTCCTGTTGTAGCATCAGTTGAGGGTTCTGAAGAAAATATGCTTCCTGTGCTTTCTGTTGACGGTATAGTAGTTGCTTTTGTTGTTGGGGATGGAGTTGTAGAAGGTAATGAATTGGTTGCAACAGGATCGTTTTCTTTTCGGAAAGTCTCCACTTCGACTGTGATTTTCAAAGTCACTTTTATAATAACTAAAGTTGAAAGCTGTGCGAGATTGGCATCTTTGGATGTTAAAGAGTTATTCAGATCCTTCTCAACCGTCTCATTGGTGATAGTGACAGTGGCCGTGTAAACGTAATACACTTTGAATCGAACTATTATGCTCCCGTTTCTGTGGAAGTAGCATTTAATCGGAGCCATAATTATAATCGTACATTTGTGGCAATATTTCATAAATTTAACATATTTATAAAGCAATATCCCACTAAAAATCACAATGGCTCTGCTAGGAGAATTCTAATTGTCTTTTATCTTGAACTTAAGATTTTTGGAAATGTAAAAGATTCTAACCTGAAATCTCTAACTTCACATAGTCTGTATTTATCCCCGTTTTCTGTGGAGTTTTGCAATGCTTCTGTAATCTTTAGAAAAATTATTAATGTCGACAAGAAAAGTTAAGAAGACTTGAAACACGAATTTCTAATCCGAACGTGTCAGTAACAAACATTTCCCAGACCTATAACATTAAAAGTGATATATAAAACAGCTACCAGGGATGGGGCTCTGACCAAGCTCTCTCTATAACAGTATATAAGTTAACCCTACAGCATCATGCAGGGTGCTTAATATCTGAATACAATGTCACACATATTTATTCATATCATACCTTGAACAGGTATAATTATTAAACTGTATAACATTTAAAACAAATAATACCTACGGATTGAATTTTGGTTCTAAATTTCTTGTTCGTGTATATATATCCAGTGTGATTTGCAATAATAATGAATAAATGGAGAGAGAAAAAATTACTGTTACATCGTAGTTAATTTAAAACATGAAGTAGGATTTTCGAGTCTGGACTTTTTTGTTTTTGCTTTTCAAAGTCTTTTCCAGGTAAGTTGTCAAATAGTAAAATATTTTTTCTGCCTCCCTTTTTTTTCAAAAACGATACTCAGTCGTTCTACGATAAATGGACCAATTTGGGGGTATAAAACATGAAAAAAATAATTGTTTCAAATAGCAAAATGAACATCATAATTCACTAAAGGACATATCAGTGAACTTGAAAAAAAAAAGAATTGTCCACAAATCTGGTATCGCTAACTTTTTCATCAACTTCAATATATTTTTAACAATTTCAATATTCCATTGATTTTAATGTAATGTTACGGAAGTTAATGCTGATCAAGTCTAATTATTTTTTAAATAATGAAAGCTGAATTTGACCAATATTTCGTTTCTGATGTTTAGTAGAGAACGCTTAAGTATGATTCATGAAGTCTCGCAGTAATCCGAAATTAAGTTAAAATTTCGGGGAATATCGTTACGGAAGTTAATCGTTATGGAAGTTAATTCCCAGCAATAATAGTTAAAATTCTCGACAATAGATGAAATAGTTTGCTTCTGGATATAAAACGTAAGTGTGAAGCATTTCGCTCCCAAAAAAAAAATTTTTTTTTTTATACTTTTAATGCTAAAACTTTCCTGAATTACCGTTACGGAAGTTAATTTTTTTAAGAGAGACAACTGTTTTTGTCTAATTAATTTTGTTATGTCGAAAATGTAATTGTCTAAAAAAAAAGCTGACTCGCAATTAGAATCGATGATATTAGATTCCGTGGTCACTTTCAGATATGTTTCAGTTCTTTTTTAAACCTTCATTCTGTGTTTGAAATTTAAAACAAAATCGTTACGGAAGTAAATCGATTTTTTAGTTTGCATGATTTCTTTTTGTATAGAATAAAAAACTTTTTTTAAACATTCATTGCAAACCATTCGGAACGCTATTCGGAACGGCTGAAAATTTCATCTTGAAATTTGTAAATAAATGAAGCGACATTAAGATTTGCAGTGGAATACGTTTTTCAACTTTACATTATGTTCATATCAAAACTTGAACTGCATATATATCGGTAAGAATTTATAAAACCATGTGTGTATGTTAAGTCTTAGAGTTGAAATAGATCTTTAAATTTATAGTTAAGATATTACAACGGTAAATTTGTAAGCGACATAAAAAATTCTTAATTGGTCATGTTTTTGTAGAATGACTGTACTGCGTGCCTGTTAAAAAAGAAATAAGAACAAAAATTCTCTCAATCTAGCTTTTACCAATGGATCAACATACCGCTTATCATAATTCATACAAATATTTATAATTGGAGTGTTCAGGTGTGGTGGAAAAAGAGAATATTTGATATACGTACTGCGCCACAGAATTTGGAGCTCAAATTCTTGAATTCTTGTGAAGATGAATTCGACAGTTCTTCATAGAAGATTTCATTCAAACTGAGCTCACCGGTTGCTACATCTGTTAAACAAGTAACATCGCTGTCAGCTCTTATATATTTACAAAATGCTTGTACATTTACATAGAATTATTATTGCTTAATTTGAGAATACATTAAAAAAAATTCATTAAAAAAATTATACTTACAATATTTTATTGAGGTATCTCCACTTTCTTCAATTAAATAAAAATAATTTATGTTAAAGTATACAAAACAATGTTTTGATATGTCCACTGAAGGTTATTTACATACAAACATGTATAATTGTTATTTTCAGTCAAAAATTTATTAAATGGAACATTCCTTTTTATAATTTGTATAAAGAAAAATACAAATTTGGAACTGAACATTGAATGAATACCTTTTTGTGACAGAAAATATGCAAGTGTTCCTGCTATGCATCCGATTAATATGATCCCCGAAATTATGCTCAAAATGGTCACAATAGTTCTCGATTTACTTCCCTTAGAATCAGTTTCACTTGGACTTTCCTTGCTTCGAAACTGCCGAATATCGTCCATCCTACTTTGGGGGTTATGATGGAGTGAGGGCTTAAATATCAATATTATTCTTTTTTATATGATATATTTGACTGTTCAATTTGACATCACAATCAGAAACATTTTCATGTTCATTTACAATAATTGTAATGGTAAATGATAATGGTATATGAAAAATTAATGCTTTAAAGGAATGACATATATTGCAGCAATTAACTACAATGAACTATTATACATTTTACATTTGTTCAATAAATAAGATTAAAAAACACTAATTGACAGTACTATGAAAGATAAAGTTTATCTTCTCATTTAGAATTTATTTTCGTGCAGGCCCATTAGAAGATCATCAAGTAGATGTTATTATTGAGGGGTCGGGGACAACTGTAAATTACAACATGTAGATTTGTTTTCTAATATATAATATTGAAAAATTAAAGGCACACACACACACACACACCCTCACACACACACACATCGTAATCATTCAATATGAGATAGTGTTCAAAATTAATAGAATTTAAAAACAAAGAACTCCGCTTTGAAAATTTACGGTTTGGAGAAAATAACAATCCCTCCTTTCGTTCTGTCTTCAACATGTTTCTTTCCTCATTTTTTCTTTCCTATTTAAGATTTAAATTGCTATCATGGTAATTTTTATTTAATGTTCACGTAATATCTTATTAGCTTTCAGAGTTTATGAAATTAAAGAGCCTATCCGTGGTCTTCAAATATTGAATGTACACCTTGTAAATATTCTTATGAGATCACTATGATTCAAAACGCCACTTCACCGTTGTGGAGCTGTGACTTTGCATACTAGTATTATGTTCTAAAATGAAATACCTCATTTTCACAAGAATTAAAAGAGAATGTGGTTTTGATGGTATATATCAAATCCCTTGTAGGGTTTGTAGTTGATCCTGGTGAATGTACCTTTATTCAGTAACCTTATTATAAATATATTATGTTAAAATTAATTTCTCAAACTAGACATTATTTAAGAAAATTTTATTCAAATTTAAAAACTGAATTTAGTAAAGAGAAATACAAATAAGACTTTTCAATACATTACTTGCTGAATTTCACGATTTTTGGAGCATGATACAAAAAGAATGAAAGATTTTGATTTCAACCCTTTGGATATAAACATTTTTTAACAGTTTTATAAGTTCCACTGAAGGATTTAGATTAAAGTATAATAATTATAATTTCTAAATAACATGTAAAATTATTGTTAAAATTTATTTGTTATCGTTACTTTTGGAAATACTTCTATATTGAAACCTTAAAAGGAATGAAATACATGTAAGGGTCAATCAACAGTATTCCAAAACGAAAACATTTCTACAATACTATCAAATATATTGTCACAGACCGTTTATGCGTTTTTTAGTTTACAGTGAAGGGTGGTAATGACAATTGGAGTCCTTTATATTTCAATGGGTTGGGCAGTATCAGGGACAGTGCCAGGTTCCAAATCCCCGAAAGTTAAAAAGAAATCATATTTAAAGACATTATTACTGATAAATGTGGGCAACATACGTCATGAGTCAGTTTTATAAATAGTGCTAAAGAATAAATTTTTAAATAAACACTAAATAATTAACTCACTCAAAGTGACAGTCCACCTGGTAATATGACATGGCAAAATAAAACTATTGATCAAATATTTTGTAGTTATATATCAGACAGATTGACATATTAAAAATTTAAGGTTTTGAAATTAGATAGCAGACAAAACCACTGCTAGATATGTGTATAGATATTCCGTAAAATGCTGCAAAAATAGCATTGCCAAGTTTCTTCTCATTTTCACAATTATTCATTCCAAATATATTAAATATGCTTCAATATAAACCCAGAGATGCTACCTAGGGGAATATTAGGTAAACTAATCAAACGGGTATGTTATCAACATTAAATACCTTTGTTTGGTGTTATCTTTTATTTAAATAAATTTTAATTTGAGAATGACAGCATTGATTTTCTCTGCATATCATTCTCTCGTAAAATTTGAAGTAACTAACAATTTACTGTCTGACCTATATCGTGTATATCTGTGCATACAACCATCCGTATCTTCTTGTTTGAAAAATCAAAGGAACTACAAGTAACTCCTGCTTTCCTTTGAAATATTATAAGATTTCAAGATTTGATAATTAAGTTCACCGACTAGAATTTTAGGAATTTAGTAATACACTTTTCAAAATGTTTGCTTCAATGCAATTTTTTGTGAAAATATTTTGTTTTATTCGTATCATTCTAGCATTTAAATGAATGTTCTTTCCAGTAAAACAATTATGAAAAAACTATTCAAATTCATTGGATCACAAGATTAATGTTAAATTTAGCTTTATTGTTGGAGAAAAAATATTGTTAGAGACTTATTTAAACAACTTCTCAGGTAGGCGTAAATACCTCACGCGACTTATCTTTCGGAGATACTCCAGGTATTCTAAGGTTTCTTAGAAAAATCCAATGAACTAGGAGGTATTATTAGAACAAACGGCAAAAATACCTCTGGTTCTGATTCAAAATTGACTTCGGTTGAATTCCTAAAGGTTTCTCGGAAGACTGTGGTAACCCTCTTGCTAGTGCAATATGCAAGAACTATAATATTTTTTTTAATTTACACCCGAGTCCTATAATCATGACGGGCGCGCTTGATTTACTTACACCGCTTACACCGTGTACATCTTTCTTAATCAAGTGCATGGGTGTAGACTTTTGGTGTACACTCGGTGTAAACTTTCTCACACCAAATTTAGGGCATGTGTTGAAAGGTGTACACTGAATCCAATATGACGGAGAATGGTACGATTGAAAATTTAAGAAATGATTTTATGTAATATAAAGGATAAGAAATCACATTCAAGTTGTCTTTTATGTGTAAGTGATGACATTGAAATTATTTTTTAACCATTTTAAATAATTTAGTCAATTCTTAATGTATTTTAATTTTCTTTTCACTTTAAACCAAAACATTTTAGCTCCAAAAGGGCGAGATGCAAAACATATACTACACCATATACACTACACCTCGTAAAATGCACTTGATTATACACCCCCACCTTTCACACCAGTGCACACTGGTGTACACCAAGTTTAGCTAAATCAAGCACGCCCTCAGATTCAAACTTGTAACCTTCCTCAATTAGATATTAACTTTCTCTTTCACTTTCATTCAAATTATTTCTGTATCACTGCATTAACATTAGACCTGTATTAGCATAAAAAATGAATTTTAACTGAATGCAAGTTAAGTAAATTAGTGTTTTTATCCTTGCAAAGTTACAAAAAATCAACATTTAAACAAAAACATCAAGATATATTCTTACCCGAAATGACACTCGATCTATGTAGTTCTTTTTGAATGTGCCACCCGTAATTTTATCCATCCATGGTTGAATTTTGAAATCCTGCATGGAATAGGTCTCAGAGCTTCCATCAGTGTCGTCATCAAAGCGGAAGGGACCGCCATATCCATAAAACACATTTGAACTACCAATAGGCAGATTTCTCCCATTGACTGTTCCATCGACAGATCTTGTTTGTTGAGAAATTTTGTCTACGTTTCCATTCAAATTTTCAAATGTATTACTGGGAGTTGTTTTCCTGGAACTCTGAAGTTCTCTCCTTCCTGGATTATCGGGAAAATATTCTGGATTTGGTCCATGAGATCTTCGATAATCATCATTTTTTGATTTTCCAAAATATTCCATATCTATGTGGTCATCAGATAGCCCGAAATATGTTCCGTTTAGAAGAGTATGAAAGGTTGGTGAAGCACCAATTCCAATTTTTTTTTTTTAATTTCTGTTTGTTGTTGTCATGGTCTTTGAAGGGAGAGATTGCTTTCTGACTATCATGGAAAAATAAACATAATTAAGGAATCTCTCCAACCTCTTTTAAAACTCCTCTCTAACTAATTGTTTTAAATAATACGTCTTCAGTAAAGCATTAATCTGTTAAACCAATGCACTGAAGGTTCCACTCCCTTTAAATTCTTTAATTTGTCTTCCTGGTTGTCAGTCTATTCTATGGATTCGTCTTCTATTGATTCTCTTAGTCATGCTTCACTGATTTTGAACTGCAGTACTTACAGGCTTTAAAATTTAAAAAAATTTAGGAACATGCGCTACACAACCGCTTTCGAATGTTTAACAAAATAATGAGGATTTTCATCAAATATACAACTAACATATTTTTTTCGACCTGACTCTAACTGTACCATGTAAAGTGGTTACACTGTAAATCATTGTAAAACAGGGTAAAAATATGTATGATTTTTTTAATGTTTAATTTGTTTTGGAAAAAAGAAATCTTTTTCTCATATTAAAAATGGTTATCATTCCATATATTTGAAATGTCACCGTCTTACAAGTACTTGTTTGTACTTTCAGATTAATACCCAAATCTTTTGATGAGGTGTTTCTTAAACGGTTAGAATTTCTATAACTGAGACATTTCCTGTTGATTATATAATCCAATTCTAAGAATTGTGGAATTTCTAAAACCGTGCAATGTCATTGTTTCTTGAAGTCAGATACAAGATCCATTCATATGTACTCGGGTTTTGTGAAATATACTCCATAATAAGAAAAGAAATATAAAAACGGGGTAAAAATCTAGTGCTCAAGTCAGGCACACCTTGACATTTAATTCTTTCTTTGCTCAAGTTTCTGACATCGTTACAAACTTAAACAGTGTAACTGATTTTTAAGACTTTTGTCCTGATGTCTCTTCAAATTGTTTAGCAACGGCTCGTGTGAAACTCATACAAATATAGTAGCCCTGTATGTTACATAATTATTGCGATTCAAATGGAATAAAACTTGGGATCCTTAATCATTTTGTCTTGTTCTTATCAGAAGTGTATACATTCAAGGGCAACAAAGTCAACATTCTCGCAAAATTGTAAAGATAAAGTATTGTATTGAATCCTTTTTTTTCTTTTTTAACATATCAGTGACATACTGCCTTACGTACGAGAGTGTTTTAAATTCTGGAGCGTGTGAAATATACATCATTTTAATAATTATAGAATTTTGAAACCCGAGTAAAGATTAAAGGAAGCTGACATTGTGACAATTTTTAAAAGACTAATTGGGCTTTGATTTTACTGGATAGAGATGGTTGAATAGATAGCGAAATACCGTAAAAGTCTGAACTTGATTACTGGCAGTCAATGTTGATGATATTTTTTTTATTTAACCCATTACTGGTCTTTGGACTATATAGTTTTATTTCTGTAATAGAATATAAATGGCTATAAATGATCTAGTTTCTTTGGGAATGCTGCACAAATCGAACGATGTAATCAGAGGCGGATTTAAGGGGGGCGCACCCCCCCCCCCAATTGTCAAAGTTCGCGTAAATCATAGTTTTGTCGGGAAAATGTAAAAATGTCTACTCGGTAGACCTCAATTTTACCCTATAAAAATCTCTAAAAACCAGGAGCTTCCGGGGGCTTCGCCCCCTGGCCCCCACCAGGGCTTCACCCAGACCCCCTGCCTACTTTTTGTGCCCCCACCTAACTTCAATTCCTAGATCCGCGCCTGGTAATGACACAAATGTCGCTACATCTTGCTTTTACTTTTCATTTGATCTATGCTATTAAACAATGGTAAATAATACACAAACAATAACGCATATAGTAAAATTTGTACAACATATATTTTTAGTCATATTTTTAATTCATGTTCTCTTTGATTTTTCTTAAATTTAAAGCCTAATCTGAGATTTATCAACTCTTTCATGATATGTTATTGATATTGCAATTACTTAAGTACAAGTGTCTGTAAGAATCAGGCAAAGTAGGTTTGACAGTGAATCATGAGGGTTCTTAAAATCAGACGATTTTCAACCCATAGATTTCTCTTGCGCTATAAACCATGTATGGAAAGTGAAAAAAGTTTTGGGTCATGGTTACTATGGAAACATGGCGTAAGAAATTTCCCTAGCAACCAGTCAATTTTCCATGTGTATGGACAAAAAAATCACTAATCTTTATGGCTTGAAATTGATTGTGAATATTTAGATTTATTCTTATTTATTCTTATCGTAAAGACAAAAATTTAAAGTGTTTTCACATAGAAATAAGAATTTGAGATATATCTGTGCTAGACATGGGTAGATATGTATGTTTTGTGTTTTTTGCTGATTCAGCATTTTTGATGATTTTGGTACTTTTCAAGGTCTTATAAGTCAAACTTCTGGTATAATACAGGAGTTGTAAATTTTTCGCATAAAAGCAGAGGAATGTCTCTTTTGGACATTAAATTCAAAAAGGTGTGTTTTTGAAAATTCCAATCTGTTGCTTAGCAACAAAAATGGATGTTTTGATAAATAAAAATGGAAAATCGTACAATGTGCAAACTATTAATCTAATAAACTGCTATCTGAGAGTACAAAAACACAGTTTAAAATAAGAAAATATATCTGAGACAATTTTGCAAACCAAGATTATTGTAAAGATACTTATCTCCATGGCAACAGCAAATTTTCCATTGCAACAAAACAAATAAAGTCACTTTTGGCACATATTACTGAACAATTGTAAAATATTAATCCACAGTTTGGTAGCATATTGCGATTAATCAAATTTGTTTATGTTATAAATGTCCTAGCAAAGTACATTTTTATAACTTTAACCCATTTTTATACTTTTAACCCATGGCAACAACATTTGAACACATAAGAACCAAAATATGTTTTGGAGAGTTAAGAGCAATTTTCTGTAACCACTTGAACTTTTTTTTGGCACGCATGGTCACCGATTTTCATGAAACTTTGCTCATTATAATAGTTACATATATAATGTTTGACAAGAGAATTTTATATCAATCAAAGTTTGGTTGCTATGTGCCTTGGTTGTCATGGTAACAGACAGGATGATTTCAACAAAATTTAGATTTTCGGCTACTTTGAATCTTTATTGACCCTTCACAAGCACGTAAAAAACCAAATTGGCCATTTACCTATGATAAAAAAACCAAAAAAGCTTGTTGCCACTTATTATGTAAAGAAAGTCTTTGGAATATATCTCTGTATAGGTGGTAACCATGGCTACACTCAGCATACATTTTATATGCAGAAAAACGCTCAGTATTTTCTTATTAGGGGAGCTCGAGACTTAACTTAATCTTAATTTATGAAAAGATGTTATTGCAATATTATTCTAACAATTAAAATATCGACTGCCATGATAACAAATCATTTGTGCCATAGTTATAACCCAGCAAACAAAGACTGGGGTATATAGGAAACACTTTGTCTGTCTGTCTCTGTATTCTTTTGTCTGTGCAATCATGATGGGGTCATAACTTTGTAATGGGGAAAGACTGCAAGTTCATTCTTGATAAAACGATTGTTTATAATCTGAGGTTGAATTTTGACTTTGTTTAACCCAAGGTCATTTCAGCTAGTTCAAGGTCTTTGGCAGTAAATAGTGTAAAATTCGTGTCTGGTCTATAACTTTTTTATGAAGGCATATCGGATATCAAACTTCATACAGAGATTGTTTAAGACATGTAGGTGTATCATGTTCTTCATTCAATGTCAGATGATAAAGTTCAAGATCCTTTATAAAAAAAAATGTATAATTCGTGTCCTGACCACATTTCGTTATGGAGAAATATTGTAAGTTCATGCTTGACAAAAAAAATTTATGCCCCAGTGGTATGTTCAAACCTTAACCCAAGGTCATTCCAGCAAGATCAAGATCACTACAAGAAAAAGTTTAAAATATCTGTCCAGATCACATAACTTTGTAATGGAGAACCATTTAGAAGTTCATTTTTGATAGATTGCATGTGAGCAAAGAGTGTGTCATGGTCTTGACCCATGATAATTCTAGCAAATGAAGACCACTGGCGGAAAAAAATGTTAAATTTGTGCCTGGTCTTATTTTCTAATGGAAAGTATTGGATGTTCATACTTCATCGAAAAATTGATTATGACCTTAAAGTATGTCATGATTTTGACGTAAGGTCATTTGATCAAGTTCATAGTCAATTTTGAAAAATGTACACATTTTGTCCTGTAAGACGGGTATTGGCCAGAACTTTCGTTTTGCAATATATTGCAATATTTTTAACTGTATTGCAATATGTATTGCAAAATTTTGAACGAAAATCAAAATGGCCTTTTCTTATTATATTAACTTCCATTTACATGCACAATGTACATATCTGTGTTAAGTAACCAAAAAGGAAAAAATCATATTGATTTAATTACAGTTATGCACTGTCTTACTGTTTGGCTTAACTACAGACCTTTCCGACAACTTTTTTTTTTAAATTTAATAATAGATTTCCCGAGTTCAAGCATTTTGCCAGTATATCGTATTGCAATACGATATGTTTTGTCATTGGATTGCAACATACCGAAATAACGATATTTTGCCCAGCCCTAGTGTCCTGTCTACATCTTGAAATGATTAAACATTCGAATCCCATACCTGAAACAAATATTGCTAATGATTCAGGGATGTGTCTTCATATTTATTCAAGGTCATTTTGGCAAGGTCAAGGTCGCTTCCAGGAAAAGTGTCATGTTCATTTCTAGTACACAGCTCTTAATTGAACCAGAAGTCTCTGATGAGACTGTAGCTCTACTTGTACTTATAAAGGACTTAGACTTGAAACTTTGCAACAGCAATGAATAGAATAATGATCCTTAGTTTAGTCTGTTTTGTGGCCAGATTTATTGCAATCAGAAT